CTGTCACATTCTCCGCGAGATATATAACTCTCCGTCATGGTAACATATATTGATATTTGTTTTTCACATTTAAATTCACACATATTTATGTAATATAGTGTTTATTTTTAATTAAATTAAATTGTGAGTGATTTTTATTGCCTAAAACCCACAAGTATAATAAATGTATTAAATACAAATTACAAATAGCCACCAAATGTTGTTATAAAATACCTAATTAACCTATATATTTACTACCTATCAAATAATAGACACCGATAACAGTGGCATCATTTCGGTGGGAGGGTGAGGGGCAACTCGGGCATTTTTCATAGTCATTTACAACAACCATAGGTCGACACATTCAAAAATACTTATTTAATAAGACTGAATAATAAATTATTTAATTACACACTGCAGGATGTCCCCGTGAGGATTTACCAATTGGGATATCTCCTAAAATAATGAAAATATTTTAACTCTGTTTTATTTATTAGACTGACAAGGATGGACAAGGACTACAATTATTTCATATTTTAATTTAATTAAAAGTTTTGGTTAAAAAACTAAAAAAATAATTGTTCTAATAAGACTTATTTAATATTTGTAATTCTACAAAGTCGAATAATTTGACAAAATTCACACTGCATACGAAAATAAAATTAAGTCAAAAATTCTGTAAAAAGAACYTAATAGATAAAAAATCAGAATAAAATCTGTAATATAAAAAAAAGTAGTTTTTAAATACGTAACTTTCTAATATTGAATATTGTGTTATTTTTGCGAAAATTTTACATTTAAATTGAGTAAAGACCAGATTTATGTTCAGCTGTAACCTAAAAACTTGCTTCTAAAATGTTGAAATTTTGCAAAATCGTTCAAAAACCAATCATAATTAGGAATTAGGTAAGTAACAAATCTTTAGTTACAGGTATTTCAAATTTAATTTTTACTGTTATTTWTATTTATTATATTACTGTTTTATTAGTATTCGTCATAATAATTTTCACTGCGGAATCATTCGCAATCCACAAAGGTATACAATTGGTCATAGACTCGAATATAACAAAAGTAACAATTTTTTAAGATTTCCTCAGTACGATAAACAACATAAAAAATGCTCAAAACACTAACGATATAAACATACAGGTACAAAATTTGCTTCAACATGGAAAAGAAAAAGGAAACATGTTTCAATTGTTTAGGATACCTGGTCATTCGGGTATTATCAAAAATAAGCTGGCCGATAAGGCAGCCAAAGATGCAATAAATAACCCTTTAGCAACAGCCAACTCATAACCAAACATGATTTATTACCTATAATAAAACTGCACTGTACCAATATGTGGCAGGCCAACTGAAACTCTGTGTGCACTAAACTCCACGAAATAAAACAAGATGTGTTCACATGGTCTCATCCTTCAAACCTTCCTATAAAGTTTGAAGTTATCCTCACTAGACTACGAATCGGGCACACACAAATTACTCACAGCCATTTAATGAGCAAAAACGATCCTCCAGTATG